TTTTTTTGCAAAAATTATGTTTTACAAAAAAAGGCTCAAATTAACCACAGCTAAAGTGCAGAGTGCACCAATCAAAATATTGCATTAAAAAGCAAGCCAAATGAATTTTAATTCGATTGTTAAATGTGTTTCAGGAATAATTTGCTTCATAATACAAGTTAGCATTGAAGGAATTCTTAGTAGTTCTGTAATTATTGGGACATTTTTGGCATCTGCTTCGGGCAATTTCCCCTAGATGACATAGCCACTCACCCAATATTTACATCGGTTAATATATTCCCTATATCAGGGCAAAATGGGGTGCGCTCTAAACTTACCACCACGTGGTGCACCCTGGGCAACGTATACTCATACGGCAAAAAAGTCTATTAACCGGCAGTTGACTTCTCACTTCAAACTACCATCACCCCACTGTATGCCAAATTCCACCACTTTCACAGTACTCACCTTACCTCTTTCTCTAAGTTTATGTCTATCTGCCTCTTTTACATCTGTGAATCATTATTCTGTCCCTCATCTCAACTTTTTTACATTGATGTTCCTACTTCTTTCTGGGAAACCTGAAGTCAGCTAAAGAGCTAATGATAACTATCAAAACGCCTACGATTTGAAATAAACAAATAAATATTTCGAATATTTGTGTGTCACTTAATTTATTTTTATTATTAATATATTATTTATTAATTAGATGGATTTTGTTGAAACACTTCTATGTTAACGGAATGGTTGGTGGGTCTGCGATAGACTTACCTCCACGTGGTGCCCCCTTGGCAGCGTATACTCATACGGCAAAAAAGTCTGTTAATCGGCAGTTGACTTCTAACTTCAATCTACTATTATCCCACTGTAAGTCATATTCGACCCCTTCAACAGTACCCATCTTACCTTTTCTTTGCCTGTTGGTCTCTTTTTCATTTGTGAATCACTCTTCTTTCCCCCCTCTCGAATTTTTGTAACCATGATATTTTTCCTCCTCTCTTGAAGCCCGAAGTCATCTAAAGGGCTAATTATGACTATTAAAACGTCTGCCATTTGAGATAAACAAATATTCCAAAGAATAAGGTTTTGTATTGTCGAAGTAAAATGCATTTGAGTGAATTTTTATTTTGAGTTTTACTCAATACTAAATGATAATGCACGCCTTTTACTGGTAACAGATTGTTAAGATATAATTAGTAATTTGAGATTTTTATATTGTTAAATTGTTATAATACTCAAATTATTTTTAGTGGCATACCATTTTTGTAATTTTAGAAACCGCAATTCACTGATAATTTGGTCTAATTTTATTCGTTAATTTCAATTGGCTGAGCACTTCAAAATGTTTCACTTTAAGGCATTACATTTCCTTGTTGGTAGGAGAAAATAAACTTTCATCAGAATGATGGTTTTTGGGTAAAAAGTCTGCAAGTTCTCTTCCTCAATCTCTCTCTCTCTCTCTCGCCTCTAATGATTTAACTCTCGCGTGCCAATTAATAATACTTCAACATACAAAAACGACGACGGGATTTGGGCGAATTCGTGGAGCGAAGCAGAAATAGGCAACTTAGATTAGAATTTATGTCCCCGCGTTGGTCAAATGGGCGGAGAAGTCGTTGTTGTCGTCTACGTCGACTCTCTGCAACACATTTATCTCCCCAGGCACACACACACACACACTCTGTATGTGTATGTGTGTTGGCTTCCAATTTTGGTGTCTCTTCTCCAACTCCGCTCTACTCTCACATATTTCACACCGATTCTCTACGCGTGCCAGAAATCTCATCTTTCCCACTATCCGCACCATCACCACCCCCCTCCCTCCCCTCCTTCCGCGCCATAAGAATATCCCCTTTTTCCAGCGCGGATAATTTCTGATTCGGGCTGCTTATTTATGATATCAACACCGAGGACAATAAAGCCAATGACATTTTAAATATGTTTGAAACTGCATAGTAGTGGAAAGGGGATTCAGTGTGCTATTTCTATTGGAGGTTACTTTGAAAGTAAATCGATCTTGAGTTGGTTTGTTTTGATGAAATAACGAGTTTACATCAATAACTTTTCTCGCATATGACTTAGCATCGGTCTTGCTAGACAAAGTCTTAAAAGGATCTTTCTTCGAAGATCCCACACATACCATTTGCTTATGTATTTATATTTCATCGATTGGAATGCGCGATAGACTTAGCTCCACGTGGTTCAACCTGAACAGCGTACACCCACACGACAAAAGGTCTATAAACCTGCAGTTAACCTCTGACTTCAAACTACCATGACCCCACTGTATGTCATTGTGTATGCGCATACGGCAAAAAAGTCTATAAACCGGCAGTTGATCTAACCCTAACACGGCAAAAAGTCTATAAACCGGCAGTTGACCTCTGACTTCAAACTACCATGACCCCACTGTATGTCATATTTGGGCAACAGACCCATACGGCAAAAAATCTATTAACCGGCAGTTGACTTCAAACTACCATCACCCCACTGTATGTCATATTCGTCTACTTCCACTTCAAACTACCATCACCCCACTGTATGTCATATTCGAAACTTCAAACTACCATCACCCCACTGTATGTCATATTCGACATCCTTCAAACTACCATGACCCCACTGTATGTCATATTCGACCACTTCCATAGTACTCACCTTACCTTTTGTCTCTACCATTGTGTGTGTCTCCTTTACATCTGTGACTCACTCACTCTTCTGTCCCCCTCTCGAATGTTTCTGACTTTAAAGCCACCCCCTGAAGAGCCAATGATAACTATCATGAAGACTGCCATTTGACATAAATAAATGAATATTTGATTGATCTGTTCATTGGAGCATTCGAATATGTTTCCTAAAATTAAAGTCGACGATACTTGAAAGGCATCTGATACTACTTAACTATGTTTAGGCGATGCCCTAACATCAATACGATTTACAATTAAGTTAATGCATCGGTTATCGCAGATATTGAAGATATATTACTACTGAAAAGAGTCGAAGACTGGAGTGAACTGTTCATAATCGAAGGCATTTGACTTCTTCTCTTTTTAGCACGAACTTTTGGTTAATTTCCATTGCATTCCAAATAGCATGTGAATGCTTAGATCGGCTAGAATTGATACATGAAATTCGTGCCATAAGCGATATTAACTCTGTTAGATTACAGCTCACTGCAACATGGTCTAATGTTCCCAAGGTTCAAGATCTTCTGAAGCTGGTAATGTTCGTAATATTCGTTAGTGATTAGGAGCTAGCAAAACTTCAACCTAAGCACTTAGCTCGAAGTGGTAGAAGATGGAAGCTGAGAGTAAAGCGATATCTTTCAAGAAATATTTCGAAATGCTGTAAATTTTCATCAGATCTAAAAGACTGGTACAAATGCAGGAAGAAACAAATTTACTGTCTAACAAATTAAATTTAAATGAAAATTTTGTTCAAAAAGGTGCTTATTTAGGGAAATACATTCTCCAAATAATAGAACAACTTTTAAGCGGCATTCTGACAACTTTCGATCGAAGTCAATCGTAGCACTAATCGATCCAAGTGTGGTGTTTGTAACTACGAGACCACCCACTAAGGTTAAGCATAAGTGTGGGACCGAATTGTGGCATGTTCAGCCTCTCCAATGATATATTTACGGCCATTATGGGTAGTTGGGACGAGGGGTATTCATCATGAGCGCTTGAAAAGTTTTTTTCTTAAATGCATTTTGTTTCACACTGTACAATTGCTAACTCCATTTAAAATTAGCTGCGTTAGATGAATTGTTAATTAAATCACTAACAATATATCCAAATGTTTATTTATTTATAACAAATGGCAGGCGTTTTGATAGGTATCATTAGCCCTGTAGTTGACTTCGGGCTTCATAGAGGGGAGGAACATCAAAGTGGAAAAAGTCGAGATAGGGAGAACGGAAGAGTGATTTAAAGATGTAAAAGAGACAGACACAAAGGTAGAGAAAAAGGTGAGGTGAGTACAATGAAAGTGGTGGAATATGACATACAGTGGGGTGATGGTAGTTTGAAGTGAGAAGTCAACTGCCGATTAATAGACTTTTGTGCCGTATGAGTATACGTTGCCCAGGGTGCACCACTTGGAGGCAAGTCTATCGCACACCCCATATAACCAAATTTTGCAATAACGGTATATTCGAATGACATTTTCCTTTGTTCCTATGAATATAATATCGTCAACTATACGCATATTGGTTGAATTGCAACAATCAAATGGACTTTTGACCCCACTTTCACAAAGACCGAAATTTTCGACCACAACAAAGACTCTTATCGTTTAGAACCTGTTTACTGTTTTTTTAAACCACAAAACGTAAGTACTTAAATTTTTGGCATCTATCTATTGCATCAATTGTGGATTCGAAACCCAGGGATTATTCACTTTGGCTAAAATCGATAAATTGTATGTTCTTAAGATACGATTTCTCAAAAATATTTCCCTTTAATTTAATTAAATGCGGGGTGTGCGATAGACTAACCTCCACGTGGTGCACCCTGTGCAACGTATATTCATACGGCAAAAAAGTCTATCAATGGGCAGTTGACTTCTGACTTCAAACTGCCTTGATCCCACTGTATGCCATATTCGACTACTTCCACAGTACTCACCTCATCTTTTTTCTACCTTCGTCTTTGAAACACTCTTCTGTTCCCCCCCCCCTCTCGACTTTTTTTCCACTTTGATGTTCCTTCCCCTCTGTGAAGCCTGAAGTCAACTAAAGGGCTAATGATAACTATCAGAACGCCTGCCATTTGATATAAATAAAATAATTTAATAAAATGTCATATTTTGATGCAACAAGAAAAGTATAATTTGAGGTATAATAATAATTTCATTATGTTTTACATAATTGGCAAAGTACACTAAAATTATTGACTGCTGCTGAGTCACTGAATTACTGTCCATCTAGTTTTACTTTCCCTCACCTGTATTCACATTACGCAAATTAAAACACTGTAATATTTATTACCTTAAACTTCAATGTAAGCAAAAAATAATAAGTAAAATAGTGTTGGTGATAACAAGAAGAAAAGGGCTCTCACATTGTAGTGAAATATTTCAACCTCATCACCTCATTTTATTTAATTAAAGTGCTAATACAGCACTCCATGGAACTTGAATGTCCTTCCAAACATAATTAGCCTTGAAAAAGAATTTTTTCACCCTGGTTGGTGAAATTTTTAATAATAAGGATAGAAATACAAAATAAAGGATTTTAACAGTTTGATGTCCGACCTTAAAGGTGTTTTTCAGGTTATTGATTATTTAAAATTCTTCAGGTTTGATTCAACAATTTTCACTTATCTAATGGTATACTTGGGTGACTCTGAAGCGAATTTTGGAAAGAACTTGAATTATAATGCATTTTCAGCTTAAAAGAAAGTTCATATCGATTTAAACCTATTTTACTTAATAAATAACTGATATATGGGGTGTGCGATAGACTTACCTCCACGTGGTGCATCCTGGGCAACGTATACTCATACGGCAAAAAGGTTTACTTACCGGAAGTTGACTTCTGGCTTCAAACTACAATGGCCCGACTGAGAGCCATATTCGACTTCTTCCAAAGTACTCATCCTACCTTTTCGCTGCCTTTGTGTCTGTCTCTTTTACATCTGTAAATCACTCTTCTATTCCCCACAACTCGGCTTTCTGTTACTTTGATATTCCTTCCCTCTGTGAAGCCCGAGGTCAGCTAAAGGACTAATGATAACTATCAAAACGCCTGCCATTCAAAATAAATAACTGATATAAAACTGTCAGCCTACACAAAAAAGCCACAATCTTCGAAATGAGCAGAAACGACTTATTCAGAGGAACGACCACTTTTTGAATTATTGATTTTGAATTTCTTGTATACAAATTGTCTAGTTTTTATCCAACGTCTTCTGGCGAAAATTATTTATCTATATAGTCTGATGATGATTCCAAGTTGAAATCATAATTTTATCTTCTGAGACTTTAAGAGTCACCGTATGGGCGAATTGGGTCTCCCAGAGTTTCCGGATCACAAAGTGGAGGAAAGCAAGCTGGGTCCAGATAAATCTTTCGATCTGTTTTCGGTCCCCCTTTACTCTGCCTCGAGAAGTTGCCCCGATCCTTCTCAACAGGTTGATCAATCGGAATGTTCAAGAGGTAGATACTCGACAACTCCGAGTACGAATTTATCAAAATATGAGATCCCTTGTTTGGATCTAGCAAAACCTAGTTTGCGAGTACCAAAAGGGACACTGGGAGCACCCGTCAAATTATCTTTGCCAGTATTTTGTCCAGCTACTTTTAATTTTGTTACAACAACGATTTCCCAAGAGGCAATTTAATTTGCATCCACCAGTACTGAGATGCTATGTCACAGCTCAGATTCAGCTTCAATAATCAAGGAATTTTGGGGCATAATCTCTATAGATGATTTAGAAGCCATCGGGGTGATTGAGGTGCGTTCTTTTCTGTGATATTTTGCAAGTGTCTTGTTAATAAGCAGACATGATTTCGAAATGACCATTGATCGGGCATGAAATTCGCAAGGATAAAGAGTGTTGTAACGCCTTCGGTCAGGGAGGAGACCATAGAATGCCTGATATTATTCCTTTTACACCTGATCTGACTAATGGAAGCAACTTCATGTCAACACTACGGGGTGCAGAGGACACTCCTGTTTTAATGCAAAAAATAGCAGCGGTAGGTGCAGTAGAAATATGACAAGAATATTTGGTCTCCCTCTTTCTAGAAAGAACCTTAATTTACTCAGCCAAGCATTCGGAAATTTTGCTAAGTATTAAGAAACCTTATTGTTTGTGGAAAAGGTTTTTCTTCTTGCTTTCA